TGATGCATTAAATGTAATTTCATCTGATACAGTTTGTAAATTTGGGCTCACTTAATTCCCAGTTTGAACAGACTAACCACAAAATTGACAGTTATTATGGTATAATTGGGTTACTGCATTAGAGAGTACTTTGGGTAAATGCTGGTCCCAATGATATACAATTTACACAATTATAAATTACTCACTATTTGCCCTACAATCTTGCGCACACTAAGACGAATCCATTTTGGTCTCGGTCGTTTTACACTGTTTTTTTGTTCATTTTTATTGTTCTTATTTTAAGACAAGGGACATGCAATAGACATGCATGGTACGAAAGAAAAATATGAACACATAACACAGACAATTATTGCTAAATAACAACCAATTATAAATGAAGATGAATATTAGACATCCGGTCCCACCCACCTTTTCTATATCACAGAAAACCAATTATGTTTCCCCATTTCCCAACATGTTTTTCAGTTGAACCTCTTCTTCTAGCAATAATAGTTTATAATCTGTGTAATATTGGTAATATAAGGAAGAAAAACTCTAAGGTAAGGTATCGCTGATGTTTAAAAATATAGTACTGCACTGTTTCTGCGAAATTCTCGCTCCAAGGGGTCACGAGGGTTGCTTTTTTCTAGAAAGTCAGGGAAAGGCTTCTCATGGGGTATGATGACAACCTGTATGGCGTAGCACACTCTTGTTCACACTATTCCGTCCATGCTCTCAAACCCCTTAAAGAGTCCAATGCCCATGTTTTCTAATGACGCACCATTCCGTGGGCGTCCTTTCCGTGAAAGAACCAAGCAATTTGGTGAGCGATCGTCTGGACCAGGTAAGCGCTGTGCGTTATAGGAACACTGTTCTGTTCTCATTTTGTACTCCGTATCTGTATGGACCTGTATAATCTGTATCTGTATATCTGGCATAACCGTCATTCGGCCTGACGCACCAGCTTCGCAGGCACGCGGCGCGGCAGCAGCTAGCTATATTACACCGAACGACCTGTTGCACTCAATCTTTATATATGTAACTGCAGGAGTGGTTTAAAGCTGTCTTGTGATGATGTATTTGGTGGCAGCGAGTTCCACTCTGCGATAGTTCTTGGAAAATACAAATTTTGAACACCTCAATCCTTGGTTCATAACTCTGAGGCATTACTAAGAGGCATTACTATTTCTTGTTCTTTTCTGAGCTGGTATTAGATACTTAGTTTTTGGTACGTTCGGATCCACCAGTCATTTTGTACATCATGCATAGTCTGGACATTTTTCGTCTTTCAGCGACACCCACTGTATACGTAGGTTTTCTTATGATTATGAATTAATGACATAGAGCTGACAGGTTTTGTGTCTGTACTCTACACAGGCGGGTGTCAAACATGGATGAGAACCGAACTGAAGGAAATGTAACCGAGGTGTCTGGGGAGATAGAGCTGAGTGAGGCCTGGAAATGGTTCCTCATTGTGATACTGGTCATTCTCATCATCATGGGTACGCTTGGTAAGTGGCACAGCACAATGCATAGTCTGGACATTTCTCGCATTTGTATCTGTACAACCGGCGCGCCCCTCGGGATAACACACCAGCTCCGTAGGCACCCGGCATGCCTATTTCATGGTATTTAACGAGCTGGTAATAGGTACTACAGTACTTAGTAGTTGGTACATCCACCAGTTTATTAGTCATTTTGGACACCCATCTCTTAAAGTAAAAGTGCGGTATATGTAGTAAGAACATGATAAGGTTCTTGTAAATCATTTGATAAAACATCTTTTGAAGATCAGTCGACCACGTATAATAACTATCGTATTGGAACCACTGCAATGAATTTGAGTTTTCTAGATGGTAGCTTAAGAATGGAGCTTAAGCTTAAGAATGGAGTTTTAAAAAGTGCAGTCCCCATGCAAATGACTATTTCTTTACAAATTTCTTTACAACTCACTTTCGACGGTTTTTGCGACACCGCGGTTTAAATTTGATCAATCTCACCAAACCTACAATCAGAACCGAAGAAAGGACGAATGGACGATACGTAATAAAGTTACCAATCTTCCTACGAGGCTTTGATGGTGTATATCCTATTATTTGACTTCACAGGGAACTTGCTGACGATGTACGTCATCGCTAAGCACAAAGAGCTGCAGACCGTTACCAACGCTTTCATCTTTAACCTGGCGATAACGGACCTTTTGGTGTCCCTTTTTGTGGACGGCTTCAACGTGGTGGGCATCGCAGATACCGACTTCTTCTTCAGACAACACGCAGTGTGCGAGGTACGGTTCGTCTAAATATTCTGTAAATATATGTGGGGTCGTGTGGTCTAAGGACAGAGCGCAACCAAGAGGTCCCGAGTTCGAATCCTGCCATGCCACCGATTTTGTGCCCTTGGGAAAGTCACTTTACACTTTTCCTCACTTTACTCAGGTGAAAATGAGTATGTCTGTTGTCCTTTTATGCGTTTGTCTGCGTTGGTGGCGGCATATGAATACGAAAATGAAAGAAATAAAAAAACTTCAGTGTGCCGTCACTATGTCTTGTGTTAAATGTTTGAACTAAAAAATATAGAAATTTAGGCCGGACGCGATAAGCCGACCTCGTCCACTAGGTTTACGCTGACCAGTGCACGGTGATTTCCTTGTTTGTATCGCGCGGGGACGCCTCGTTTGGATTGCATGGGCCACGCTCAAACTTTCCAAAATTGACCAATCAGAGCCCGTAAAAATACATGTGCTTGCAACTTAAAAATAATAATTCTGTTCGTATTTTGCCGCATAGATGTATTCTGTACGTAGAATGACTTTATTTATACACGCACATGTATGAATCAATCGTTGTTGTAGTAGAAAAAAAACTAAATTCCCTGTAATTTTGTCGAGTCAATAAAGAAAGGTGTAAAACTATCAACACACTGAAGAACTCGCTCGTATACACAAACATTCGGACACAAACTTATGCATGTACAAACATTCAGACACACGTGCGTGCGCGCACACGCGTACGTTTTTAAAAGTACTAGTCTGAAAACGTCGCTAGGATGATTAACTGCTATGGATATGTTCTTTTGTCTCTGTTACAAAATTGCCGTTGGCTAAACACCAACAGTACTCCTACGCAATGACGTATCGCGCACGCGTGGGCTTTGCAGTAGAAAATGCATTTCTTTAAATGTCTACTTGTGTAAAGTTGTTTCCGAAGCCGCAACCAAATTTGCCCTTTGTTTTGCCGACACCCAGCCACCTACCTAATATCACACATCTTCTTATGTTTCACTGTTCACGAACCCACTCATAAACACGCAAACTGCACCGAAAATATAACCATGTTGGCAAAGGTAATCATAGACTACACCATGCATAAACCGTTTCTCTATACACAAAGAATTGTTCTCACCCAGAGATTTCGACCAGTCACTCTGGTCTTAAGATCATCTTCAATAGACTGACCCAGTGAGACGTCTCACATGGACCCGAACAAAACAAATCCACCCGGACATACTGTTTCACTAGTTTCACTGGACACTAAGAATACTGGACACTAGTACTGAACAAGACTACTTCCTGAGAGGGGTGAAAGTGTCCATTTACATCAGGGCCCATCACCCATCACTCAACCGCGACGGGGGCCGACATAGTTTACCAGACTCTGTTGACCCGGTGTTTACGTCACACTTCAGAGAAGCTCACTGGGTCAGTCTACTGAAGAAGACCAGAGTTACTGGTCAAAATCTCTAGGTGAGAACAATTTCTCTCGTGTTGGAACAAAAGTTTTAACTCTAATCACCAAACTCACGTCCTTACTACAGTTTGTGGGGTCCGTCTGTGTGACGTCATGTATCTGCTCCATTATGACCATGATGATCATCGCCGTCAACCGGTACTATTACGTCACCGACAAGCCACGTCACGACGAGCTCTTCACGACCTGCCGGCTCATCGTCATCATCATCGTGCTCTGGCTCTACAGCTTCAGCCTGTTCGACCTGCCTCTGCTGGTCGGATGGGCAAGACACTGGTATATACACAACACTCTTTGAAAGTCTTTAAAAACACTCAAAGCTGTTTAGTTTTTTTTATTCATTAGGCCCTGTTGATTTGATTATATGGATGACATCCGCGCGCACATGAATTTTTGTCCGTTTTCAAAAAAAGTTTCCCACCAAACTGTAAATCGTACCAAGAGATATTTTATACGTTAGGTTGTCCAGCGCGCAATTTATTTAAAGTTTACAGCGGCCCAGCTTATGGCTTCTGAAATACTCTGTGTCCCGCCTCGACCAGCATGTGAGCGATACCTCTACAGGTGGTCTGGCTTACGGCTTACCTTCTAAACTAAACAGCCGGTGTTGACGGCAATCTGAAATATTGATGGACAACCTAGCTTTTGAATTAAGTATTTCGAACCCTGCAGTTCATCTCTAGCTCTTCTATAGCCAGGTGTACGTACCTTCATATGGCGTCTGTATTCTAGCTCATCTAGTATTACATCTTCCATGCTTGTGTACTTCAGGTATGACTATAAGACGATGGGCTGCACATACGACCGGACCGCCGACTTTTCCTTCACCCTGCACCTGATCTGTGTCGGCATCGTGATCCCTGTGGTGGTGGTGATCGTCTGTTACACCAGGATATACCTGTTCGTCAGGGCGTCCAACAAACGGATGGTCAAACATCGGCAGCAGAACAACATGGCGCCCGCGTAAGTCCCATGCAGCGTTTCCTTGTCATCCATCTGAGAATGCACCTGTCGTGTGGTGTTGGATTTAGTTGCAATACTAGTGGCAAATTTGATGATAGATAGAGAATAGATCACTGTTATCTTTCAATTTGACTGTAGTATCACGTGGCGTAGTTTGGCTGGGAATCAAAAGGTCGCAGATTCGATCCCGTGACATGCTTTTACCCTTGGGATAGGCACTTTACACGACTTACCTCTCTTCACTCAGGTGTAAATGAGTACCTAGCTTCGGCTAGGGACGCCCCTCGGATAGGACGTTAAATAGAGGTCCCTATGCGCGTTAAAGAGCCCACCACACCTTTCGAAAACGAGTAGGGACACGCCCTGGTGTGAGTGGTTCAAACCTCACAGTCCAATGGCCGCACCCAGGACAATTGTCGTATTGAGGTCACCTGAGTGGCACAGAATGGCAGCAGCTCCAGACCCTTGAGATCCCCTTGGCCAAGGGGAGATAGTCGGCCTACCCCCCCCCCCCACGTCCTGTCATTAACAACTGATAGCTCAGCTGCTAAGCTGAGGACCGATGCTTAGGCATGAAAAGATACTGCGTCCAAACACTGATGAGGATTTGGTGTCGCGAATGTGCCATGATCTGCACCTTTTCCACTAAGACCTGTGCAATTTTTTTTTCCTCAGCGACAAGCTGAAGGTGGACGACCTGACCCTCCTCCGGACACTGGTCATCATCGGCGTGGTCTTCTTCATCTGCTGGAGTCAGTACGTCATCGTCGTGCTGGCAGACTTCGAGGACCACTGGCCAATGGGAGTTCACATGACCGCCCTCGTCACCGGTATGTATGTATTGCATGTTTACCCCATGTTAATTTGATTATATGGATCCGCGCGAATTATCGTAGGTTTGCAAAAAAAGGTTTAGCACTTTCTGTGAAGTGAAGTGATTCAATTACTCTGAGCACGTGACCTGGGGATATACGTGACTCGAGTAATAAATCATAATTGCCTGGTAGACGATATCAACCCCCGTCTCGGCCAGTGGGCTCTAACACTGATTTTCTTTTACTACAGCTCATTCCAGCTCCTCGACTAACTGCATCATCCTGGGCGTGACCAACCCGAAATTTCGTGAGAAGTACCTCCTGGTCCTGAAGCCCAAGGGATGCTCCAGCACTGCCCCACCCGCCTCCCGGGACCAGACTACCCTCCCGCGCTCAAGGAACAGCGCCAGCGCCAAGGTGGAACAAGACAGCACGGCTCTTGATAAGGGTACACAGGAAAATGTTTAGAGGCATCCGGGGCATGCAATTTCAGGGTGACAAAACATAATGTATTCTGGATGAGGAAAGCGATCGTAAGGCTGTAATAAATGCCCCCGCCCCTGAGGCGTAGCCAAAAATATTCTGGATGAGGAAATTTTGTCTCATTTTTACATTTACTGCCAGATCGTACCGCATTTTCGTCATTATTTCATACTTGAGGCGTTAGAAGTAGCCCCAAAACAAGCTACGTCTCTTCATTTTGGGTTATCGAACATAAACAGGTAGAACCAGCCTACGATACAAAACAAGCTACTGTTTTCAGCTAGCAACATTGCATTTTTCGTCTCACAGATACCATTGCGATTTGAGATTTGATTGGATTGATTCAACTTAATGTTGTTCGTCCGTTTTCTACTTGATATATTAAAAGAATAAGCAGAAAATTGACTTATTTGACTGGAAATACAGTTTTGCCGCCCTGAAATCGCATTGGATGCGGAGTGCCAGAATTCAGGTATACATTGAACGAGGTAGCTTTCCTATTCCGCGTAACAGACCAAGAGAAAATTATGTCATTACCTGAATAAGAACTCTACAATGAGAACCTCGGAACTTCAATATTGGCCCTTCTGACGGATGATAAGATGGAGAGTCCTTGATGAACTGTACACCATCAAGACGTACATCAGCCCTCTACAAGTCGAGTGGCGCTAGTTGAGAGTGATTTTGTACCCAAAATCTTCGTCTAATCAAGGAGGTTAAAATCATTTATCGTGAATTTAAAGCTCCTTGGTCTACTTATCCCCTTTCTCAACGCATCTAAAGGCTCGAGCATTAGTTTCAAGACCATTGCCTTAACTATAATGTTGAGCTCAGATTTGATTTGTAAATGAACTGTACCATTCTAAGTCATTATGAGTCTTCAGACTGACTGTCAATGAAAGAGATATGAAGCCTTTTATTTCCACAGTTATAGACATTTCTATAGGAAATTGATTTTTGCACCTTAGAGCAATTATGTCAAAACAAGTTATTTCGAAATTACAGCAAGGTGGTCTTGTGGGCTGTTGACATAGAATCTAAAGGGTCTTGGTTCGAATCCCCAACAAACCTCAATGTCGTGCCCTTGAGGAAGGTACATTAAACTTCCCCACTCGAATCAGGTAAAATGGATACCTAGTTTGAAACCTTGAAATTCATTTGCACAACTCACAATGTAAAGAAAGCTCAATTAGCTACGAGAGGGTTAAGAATATTTCAAGACTTTTTCAAAACATCATATTTTTTCAATCTTGAGAATTTTTCAGAGATTTGAGGTACCGAGATGAAATCAAATATCATCAGATGATATATGGCAATATTTTTCAATTTTTGAATCACCACAACTCCCACCGGGGGTAATATAGAGGCTTTTCATTGACGTCATAAGAATTATTATACGAATCTTGGTGACCAGGTGTTGGCGTGTGAATTGATTTAGTAGCAGCATGTTGTCATGTTTAACCTTACCGTCACTGTAATCCAACATGGCAGATGTAAAAAGTCCCTATAGTGTTTTGTGTGAGACATATTTTTGTATAGGCTGTTAAAGGCTAGAAGCATAATTCTTTTATGATGATTATTATAATAGTACAAGGCTGTCTTCTTAGCCCGACTGTCTTCTTACTTTGCTTGCGTCCTGTGTAATCTACCAGTGTGTAATGTAGGGAGGCATACATTTGTAGAACGTGACCAACTCTGTTTTACACTTCGTCTTTGTTAGCCTTTGTTTTGTCATAAGATGTTTTAAGTTAAAAGTTATGTTCCAACACAAAGAGTTGTTCTCATCTAGAACATTCGACCAGTCACTTCACTCTGGTCTTCTTCAATAGACTGACCCAGTTAGACTTGTCACGTGGCAAGTATAACGTCAACATAGGGTAAAATGCACTACTAGTATCTAGTAGAGGATGTCTGCCCCCGTCGCGGTTTAGTAAAGGACGATGAGTCTTGTATTTTAAGGGGTGCAAGTACCAGAGATTAAGATACTACAATGACATGGTCAAGAGAAAAATTCCAAGAGTTTCAGATCTTATAGAATCCTGAGCTACATTGTCTATAATACGTACGGTTTGGATCTTTATTTCTAGACACAACGTGGCATTAGATATGTCACAGCAGGGTACAATTTCTGTTTAAATGTCAAAGAGGTGTGTTGCACGATTTTTGTGTTTGGGCAATATCTTCTCCCGTGTTGTTATTCATGCAAGACTAGTTTTCTGACAACTATTCTGTATAAAATGTGTCGACTATTATATAATAAACGTTATTGATTTCGTCTTGTAATGAGTGTAATTTTGCATCAATTGAGGAAGCAGGCCCTTCCAAAGAGGAAGGGCCATTTCGACTGGGAAGGCCATGCTGATTTGATTATATGGATGGCATCCTCTGGGAACCCCAAAACTGATGCGAGCGTGCGAATGAAAAAAAGGGGAAAAAAGCTGCCTTCATTATAAAATCTATCCTATATGAGTATGGTATATGGCGAAAACTTTTTGATTTAATTTCATTCTTACTCATTTTGAAGGTGTAATTTGTGCAATTGTACGATTTACAGTATGGTCGAATTTTTTTTAAACAGAGATGTCATCCATATTTTTAATCAAATTGACATGGCCTAATTGAGACATTGGATGTCAAATGATTGACATCCCTATCGAGGAATATTAGTATGCAATATTTTGTCACACGTTCCCTTCCACGTTTTATCTATAATTGTAACAGGAGTGTACTTACGTATGTGGACATTTTATTGATATTTTCTAATCATGGTGTTAAATTGTGTTAAATCAATGTATAAGATTTACTTCTATTTGTACTATGTGACAATGTCTATTTGAGTATTTTGAAAATCTACAATATGTTAAGACTCAATCATGTATTCAGCTGAGTAAATCAAAACTATGTGGAACCAGTGTTGAGGAGAGAACACTTAACCTAGACAACCCAGCATTAGCGCCCTTGGCTGAAGTTGGACTTTTAAGTGCATCCATAATGCAAAACCCCCATCCTCACTCCACCAAGCAATGTAAACCTCTACCTCAGATGCCAACATATTCTCTCTTCTCAAAGGCATTTAAGCCCAAGTCAGTTTTTTAGGGGTTGAAAACAGATTTATATGACTGGTTTATTGATGAGAATGTAAAACAGTCAAATGCTAGCCACTTACGTACCTTAAGTACATCGTACTAGCTTGAAACAACACTATACCAATTTGTATCGACATTCATGGAGCAAAAATTGTAATAGGAAATGGTTATTGGTAGGATTTTGGGGCTGATTTTAAAGTAGCACCTAGAAAATGAAGGACTCATCTTGGGGCTTTTTTCTGCCCAAAGTGTGAAACACTGATGCAAATGTGCTAAATGTGGGGCAGTGTCAAAATCTTACATATTGACTTAATCAGAATATTCCAGTTTTTCCCCCTGAAATTACATTGGTACCTCGAATATTTTCAGGTTATCATTAGCTTCTTGAAAAAAAAAAGCTACTTTCCTCAAGAAACAGCTGTCATGGTCTAATGGAAATATGGGATGTTGAAAAGCTATTACCAACCATAACCCTTCAGAAACCCTTGATCCTTTCGTTCCAAAAATATGGCAAACATTTTACATGTGGCCTTGTGTCAAGAACTTGTCAGAAGCCCTACATATGTGGAGAGGGCATATTAGGACAGATTTCTAATGTAAGTGTCGCAATCATCAAGATCCTCTAAGGCCACACCGACTTAATTTTATGGATGACATCCCCGCGCGCATTGATTTTCGCCTGTCACCCTAAAAAAAAAAAAAAAAGATCACCTCCACCGAGGCTTTGGCCTACCTCTTTGGCCTGGGTAGTCTATGGTAGTCAGCGACAAAACGGTGCCGAGCACCCAGGCTATCAAATTCGAAGCTCCACGACTCAAGAACTCAGTACATAAGTACAGTTTGGGGGTCTTCAGAGGATGTCATCCTTAAAATTAAATCGGTGTGACCTAATAGATTAATTTGCTGATCTCTGATTGTTGAAAATAATTAAAAGTACTACTTGCATTGATGTGATCATAAAATGTGTAATTCAATTTGACAAAGTAATAACATGTGAAATTTGTAACTTTGATGATACAGAATATGTAACATTTTGTATGAAACAATTTAGTCTGTGAAGAATGAATTGTATCACAGTACATGTATGTAATAAAAGATTGTACACCAAATGCATGTATCTTGTCTATTAACATGCTATTCCATTAGAAAGTTGAGGATAAAAGATTATCTAAGTTAAGTCTTCCTACTCCCTTTCCTTTTAAATAGTTAGGGCTCTGGATTGAGATGGTGGATAGAGCACAAAAGCGTACCGGAAAAGTTGGCGTCTTAACAAATCTATGACATTGACTTTTGCATGAAAAAACCTTACCCTTCATAATCTAGAAGGCTATCATAATTATGATCATTTCCATCTCTAAAAATTGATTTTCCTGGCAGATACTTTGAAATTCGTTATTATGTCTAAAAGTATGTTGTACAGAACACATTGTGTCACAAGACTTTTACATGTCAAAACGTCTTTAATACAACAAAATTACAGATACATGAAAGTTTGTATGGAAAGGTTGATATGTTATGTAGACAGATAAAGTTTAGATATGTACAAACGTTACAACATACATAAACACAACTTAAAGTGGTCAACATACATAGATGATATGTTTGGTCATTAATTCATTTCTAATTTTGTCAACTTGTCATGTACATCATAAAACTAGGAAGATGGAAAAAATACATTGAATATTAAATGAATCATTTGAAATGAGTGAATGAAGGTCAAATGTTGAAGACTGAAAATTCTTGGTGAGTTCCTTTCTTGTGTTGGAACAAAGCTGAGTCTTAACAACTGTATGGATTCTACCAAGTAAACACAGATGAGCTTTTATGTCTTTTGTTTTAAGCTTGAGATGCCAGCACCTCTAAAACTATAAGCTGCTTTTGCAGACCTTCTGCAGCTAGCTACATTGTAGTGTACCTCTGGCGGCATATTTTTTTTTTCTCACACAGTATGTTCCAGCATGCTATCCCACCAGGTGCCTTAGTCTGGCATTCAGCTCCTTCTCTTTGGTCAGAAGACTGTTGGTGTGCTTCTTGTAGGCATCAAACTCCTAAAAAACAAAGCAAATTATGCATGGTTGATTTGCAAATAAGATGAATTTGTTTCCTCAAAATGCTGTATGTCAAACATCTATCTGTCGGTAATTTTTCACAAAATACATACATGTACCATAAAATACATTTGTATAAACAAAAAATGTATATCCTAAATCTTTATACATGTACCACTATATTATGTGCTAGATATACCTTTAACAATTACAGGGGAGCCTTGGGCACCATTCACATGATACATACCATACAGTACATTATGTATCACCTAAACCTAAGTTATACAATCATCATGTACAATGTACATGTACATGTATCATCTATCATAAAATGTGTTAGATATACCTCTAACAATTACAGGGAAGCCTTGGACACCATTCATAACACATTATAACAGTAGTGTGCAACATAATACCTGCTGATTAAAAGTAACCTTCCCAATGTCCAGTGTTGCCAGGCAACTTACAATCTAATTGCCATCTCCTGGTTGATGCTATAATTATATCACTACGGCTGACTTCATGCTGTGGTAAGCAATTTCCTCAACCCTGTTAAACTGCAGGGGTGTTTTTTTTTTAGGTCTCCAACTCTGCTGTTGTCATCCACTTGCCTTTTCCCCTCGTTAGGCCAGGTTGATTTGATTTCAGGGTGTCTCAAAAGTTTGTTCTCCCTAATCAGCCTCACATTTACATACGTACGGTATGTCACAATAAATACAACACCTGGTCAAACAAGCCTTTTCAGGTGCTTCCTTGCACATGTGTGTCAGTTTGTAGACTAGACATTTTCTCCCTGAAGGAAATGTTGCTTCCCTTTAAGACAAGTCCAGGTACTAGGACAGGACGCCCATCTTGTCTCAGCACCAAGGACAGGGACATCGTTCGCAAATCAAAGGGCAAAAGAAAGAAAACAGTCCTGCCAAAGACTCAAAGACTTAAGAATCATGGAGAAAATGTTTCCAAGAATGGAAACTGAAAAGCAAACAGTACACAAGTTACAAAATGCCCCTGTCAGAACATCAAAATCAATTATAGAGAAGGGACCTTTTCCACATATACCACAGGAATTGAACCCAAAGATGAACAGAAAAGGCAAATATAAAGAAGGTTTGACCTTTGTATATAGTTGGTTTCTTGGAAAGGCATGTTAGGCCATGTTGATTTGATTATATGGATGACATCCAAAAGCGCATGAAATTTCATTTAAAAAAGAACCTTCAACCAAACCTTCAATTGCACAAAGCAGCTGCAAAATGAGCAAACATATGCCATAAATTACAAGAATAAATAAATATTGGAGAGCTATACAAATGTCATAGTATGGCAAAGTCAATTCCAAAGGAAATTTTAAACAAAATGTAAAGAGATGAAAACAAAGACAAACTGTATTATTCGCCATACCATACTCTGCCATACATGCACCATACTCTGGGTGTTGAGTCATTTGTTCAACCTTCATGACCACGTAGATTTCATAATGAAGGTGAAGACAACTTTTTTTGCCAAACTTTTTTTTTATTCCCATGCTCGCATCAGTAATTGGTTTCCCAGGGAATGTAATTTTTTCAATCAAATCAACAATTTCAAGGTACTTTATACTGTACATTATGTTTACTGACAGTAAGGGCACACCTCTGGCTTAAAAACAGCTGCAGGGGTGACAGATGATCCACAAGTTTACGTTTAATTACTCCCTCTGAGCAAGGAGGTTCAATCATGGAGTTGTTTTTCTACCTCCATGGTTCAATCAGAAGGAGAAAACATGCACACAATTGGCAAGTTGCTGTGCCCTTTGCTTTGACCTGCTATTTCACTCTGCCATCCATTGTTAACAAGCAGTGACAGCGTGGCATTAATTGCTATGCATTTCCCTGAAAATGAGCCAAGGCATCACAATCTCTGATTTTAACCTAGCCCCAAACATTAGACAACAACATTTCCAATGATTTCCCTATTTAGAACACTTGGCAGAGTTGCGAAAATATGACACCTTTGGCTAAGGCCTAAGGAAAAAATGTTGTGTTTCCTGTTTCCTGACCAACCCTAAAACACTGCCGGCCCTAGTCTTGTTTTGTGCGTGGACCCCTACAAGGGACAAATTATATTTTTTGAGCTGATCGACCTTGATAGCTGAGTGATGAAACATTGTACAATTGTTTTTGCAACATTGACATTGAACATATTGTGTCCTCCTGCAAGTTTAAACTGTATTTTATAAGTTGGTTTACCATGCAGAGATCGCCAAAGTCTAATAAAAAAAGAAAGAGAAAAAAGATAATCTTTACCTACCAACCCTACTTTATCAGGACTGATACAGGAAACACAACTGTTACATTTTTTCCTAGGCCTAATTTTTTTATAAAGGACAAAGCACACACACACATGCACACATAACACACACAAAGATACACAAACAGATGACATACTTTAACCATGGTCTCCACCCTATCCTGTGCCTCTGCCAGCTCCTGCCTCAACTTTTGCACCTGAAGGTTGGCATCAACGGCAGCAGCCTCTCTCCTGAAGGATAGAGGGAAGGAAAGAAGGAAAACAACAGAAACAAAACTGCATCAGAAACAATTACCAGTAATCAATAAGTGAATCCATGTAATGGTGGTCTGCCATGAAAACTCCCAAACTTTTACTAAGAACAATAAAAAAAACTGTAAATGTTGCACTCAATTTTACCTTAATGGTACCTTAATTTTAATGTAAACTATCAGGAAAGACTTCATAAAAAGATGACATACTCAAATCTGGCAAGTGCTGCCTGTTTTGCCTTTTCCGCTTCATCTATTTTCTGCTGGAACTTTTCAGCCTCCTTTTGCTTTTCCTGAAATCATAGAACATTAAACTTACTAACTCTTACTAACTGATCATTACTTATTCTACAGGTAACAAAAAATTATAACTTTTTTGACATTTTGTGAAACATAACCACCTTCTAAATCACGTGGAGTACTGGTTTGGCTCAAAACCAAGAGGTCCCAGGTTCAATTCTCTAACATGCCCTATGTTGTGCCCTTGGGAAAGGCACTTTGCACGATTTTCCTCATGTACAGTGAAGTGACACCCACCGGACCTTTCGGCTAATGCTGTGTCAGAACACTCATTACCAAAGGATTTGGTGTCGCCAATGTGCCAAGATCTGTACATTTGCAACTAAGAACTACATTACAGTTTTTTTTCTAAACTGTAAAACTTGAAGAGTAGCTAGCTACAAAGTAATAATTAGTATTATTAAGAGCTGTGCCATGTGATAAGAATGTTTGAACTTGTGAAAGTACAAAATACAAGGGCTTAGGACAACACAAGCTGACATTTCTGCTCCTTTAAATGTACTTTTTACATCTAAAAATAACTGAAGATGTCACCTGTATGATTTTCCCCCTCTGCATGGAGAGATCCAGTAGTTCATCTCTCTCCTTACTCAAGGCTTTAAGTCTTTCCTCCACTTCTTTACTCATAGTCTGTCTGTCCTGCTTCACTGAAGAGAGCTCTGACTGAAGTTCTGGAAAAAAATTGCTCAATAATCAACATCATATAGAAGTTCTGGATTGCATTTTGGTTCATGCCCGAGGGCTAATTGCATGCTGACAAGGGCAATGACTACAGAATGTATAATTGAAGAATGGTATAAAACCATGTGCTAACATTAAGGTCTACTTCAGTCTTCTACCGTAATCTAACTTTCTATCTCCACATAAAAGTAACAGTGTACAATTTGTATGTACATGTGACAAAGAGAGATTATGTAATACACATTAGACACTGTAATAAATGAAAAATGGCAACTACCCTAATATATTCTATTTCTAGTTACTAGTACTATAAGCTATTGTGGGGGTTGACTTCTTCTCTGGAGGGAGTGGGAGATGAATTGTCTGACTTTTTTAAAAATACACAGAAGTCAGGAACTCAGGTTGGAAAAATTACCAAATATTACAAGGTGAGAGACAATAAAATTATCACTACATGGTATTTAGAAATAAGTGGTGCAATTTTGATGATAAACGTTTGATGATAAATTACACATGATGGGCTAGTGTTTTGAAAACAGTTTGCTAGTGAAGTAATACATGTATGGTAGGTAATATTACAAACAGAGTGAACACAAATACATCAGGGAAGAAAACAAAAACATGACAAATGGATACTTTCCTTATGAACAGTTTATCATTAGGCCTAGGAAAATAAATGTTGTGTTTCCAGTTTATGTCCTCTTAAAAAACTAGGGTTGATAGGTAGGGATTGTCTCTTTTTTTTAGATTTATGCTAAAAATGGACCAACAAATGTGGAAAATATCTCAACTTACTGAAAAAATTGCTTCTGACATGCATTATATAAATCACATTTCAGAAGGGTTTGAAATTGACATGTCAGATTTAAACAAAATTTACCAGTGTTCGATCAAAAACAGGCTAGGGTCAGCTGGGAAACCAGGAATACAACATTTTTTTTCCTAGGCCTTATAGAACATTACAGAAGAACGTTATGTTTACCATTGATTTTGGCCTGTGCTTGTCTGAGTTGTTTCTCCAGAGCTGACAGTCTGTTGTTGTGTGCTTGTTCCTGTTGCTGGAGTTCTTGTGTTAGGGAGCTGTGAGGGAGGTCATATATACAGATGTATGAGCCTTATACTATATATTAACTTATACAGACTTCTACACAGTAGTGTTGTTCTTTCTGTCACATAAAAAAGTTAGTATAGCCCCCATTTTCACCAGTGCTTATCACAAAGGACTAACAATTTGCATTGATGCAGTCCTTTCTTTATACAATCTAACATGCTTAGAAATACAAATCCACAATCTAAACACTGTGGTCATAGGTACTAGTATTTAGAAATCCAAGGTTTTCATTTCTAAAGGAAAAAGAATACAAGCATTGATAAGCATTTTCCCTATCACCGGTGTACTAGAACCTAAAAAAAGTCCTAACACTAGACGCACTGCTAGAATTAATATATTGTCATTCAGACATCACGGGTAAAATTTACAATCTAACTTTTTTAAAAATCTGGACAATGTCTCAACATACTTGCATTTCTCCTCCATTTTGCCTCTCTGTCTGTTCAGACTTGCCACCTGTTCCTCCAGAGCTGCTATCCTCTGGTCTCTTTCCTCCAATGCCTCGTTGAACAACCTTGCATTTTCATCCCGCAGTCTTTCATTCTCTTTCCTCAGTTTCTCGTTCTGTCGTTTGTACTCGTCCTTGAACTTTATCATTTCTTCATGGTTGGAGGCCAGCTCGTGAAACCGTTCGTCCAGAATGTTGAACTTCCTCACCTCCTGCTCTAACTGTTCCTCCGCTTCTTCCCGGAACTTTCTCAGCTCTGCGTTCACTCTCTCCAGCGTCTGGGCGCTCGCAAGGTGCTCGTCAGAACGCCGTTTCAGGATACAGATGAGCTCCGACTGCTCGTCGATGCGTGAGCGCAACATGGCGTTCTCAGACATGTCGGCATTCGCGTAACCGAGGAGGTTTTGAACAATTTCATTGTTTTTGCTCTTTTTGTCAGAGTTGGCCACAGAAGGGGAGCTGGAGGAAGTAAGGGGAGGAGCAGTCTCTCCATCTCCTATCTGTAAAGACAAACATACAGTAACTGTTGTGTCAATCATAGATCTTCCAATAGTAGGAGTTAACATTACAACTACTGAAATATCAAAATTAAAGACCCAATGTATGAAGTCCAAATGCATGAGTTCTTTTATTCACATCCCTTTGTTATACATGAGCCTGTTAAACATTTCGAAAACCATCTGTCATCTTCATCAAAGACAATATAACTAGCCCTAATATTGAATGACTGACGGTCATCGAAATGTCAGCTCATGTAAAACAAATGGTTGTGAATAAAAAACTTTGCTATTTAATCCTTCACCAACCTGATGAAATTATTTATGGAGTCCAAATGCATGTTTTATGCAAATTACTCACAAGGTCAATTATCATACACAGTAAACAGCTGTCTAAAATGATACAACAACAAAAAAAAACTCCAAACAACACTTCTTCCTTCAATACCAGCAGTGGCTTGGAGTTGATTATGCCATGATTGCAGAATTTTTTGCCTCACTCAAATTACAATGTCAGTCATTGCATTAAGATACCGTAATTCCTGATTTTTTTTCACGGTACTTTTATGTTCTCAGTGTATACTGTCACTTCTGTGCTGCAAACTTATCATTACGCTAACAAATAATTTGCCAACTTTCTCTCTTTTGCACCTGCTGCCACCGTGAACACCTTCATTTTTCTCAGACTGTGAACTTTTGCTACCATGAATATAAAGTGAATTACATTATTTCCTTGAATGGAAAGATTACATGTATTGAAAATTGGTGTTAGAAAATCGTGCCTTGTCATTATAAAGTAAGATGATACTGTATGTGGGATTAAATGAAATGAGATGACTGTAAAGTGTAATGTAAACTAATAAAAAAGGGTCGCAGGTGCAAATTTATGCTAAATCTACAGCTACACAGGTGCTGCACACCACATCACACCTGGACTCACCTGTTCCCATGTGAGTTTGTAAGATGTGCCCCATTCCTGTCACACAAAAAGTACAGGTATCACACCTATGCACTCTACAGCTACTTTCTACTGCTCTATCTATAAGCTGTGTTTTATACAGTAGTGTGTAGCTTGTGCAATCTCCAAGCAGATGTCTGGTTGGGTTGCTGTCAGAGGATGTCAGATAACATTTGATTACATGTATATTGTTTCTGTGTTTACGTGTTCTTTTATCAAATTACATTCGTACCATACAGTCTTTAAAGCTTGTGCTGCAGAGGTGACCATAGTTCATTAGAATTACTAGTAAGTAAAAATATAATTTTGTTGTTAACAGTTTGATTATGCACTGGCCGATTAAAAGGTTAACAATGAGATTAATTTTTTTGTGTTGTTGAATCAGCCTGTTCTTTATCTTGTTCATCTTGTAAATTTTGTAAGTAAATATTTTGAGGAGTCCACAATTGGTGTAATGCAATTATTACATGCCATTTTGGCGGCAAATATGAAACAAGAACAGACCGTACAATACAGACAGATCTAACAAGGAAGTAATTTTGTCATGTCATAGTGAGTTTTGGACTGATATCCCTCGGTAAATTTTAAAAATATGTCTTATGGTGTAAATTATAACGGTACGTATGCATAAGTTGGAATTTAGGGAATATGTTTTCTGCCGTGCAAATAAGAACCGTGATTTGTCGCAACAACGTGCGTCGCCTGTGATAAACGTCGCCATCTATACAGTCCTCATAACTTTAGGTCAAAGAAAATAGCACAAACATAGTGTTTGGTTGGTACCTGGTGGCTTTGTTCGATCATAACTTTCAGGTCCCTCGGCGTTCTCATCGAGGAAGCCATTTTGAAAACCACTTGTTGATGGAAAAATATATCCCATCATCCCCCGCGCGGACAGGAAGTTTACACCAGTGCGCGTCGGTTGCTTAGCAACGACCTATTTATGAGAGAGCCCTCTGACGGGATGGCTGTGAACTGCAGGGTTGGATGTTCTTTGTGCTTGCACCCACGCATTAGGGCCATTCTGCTTTTCTATTGAAGACGAGCATCTGGTTTGAGCACTTTGAGGGCAAAACCTACGTAAAGATGCATGGAAAGTCAGCAGTTTTCGATACGTACATAATTAACGCACATTAAGTCTCAGCTCATTGAAAAATCTTGGCATGCGTATAATTGAAGCGTCAACTGCAGATGTTCACACATTAAAGACCTTCTAATAGCCACGCCTACCTTTTTCTGATGCAGCCGAATATTAGCAGAGTTCGCCGAACAAAGACTTTGCGCCGACCTACTCCTATCTATCATGGGGCGTTAGGCTAGTGTTCGGAAAGCCAATTCCTTAGATGATATGTAGTTTAATGTACACAAATAAAGAAGGTATCAAAAAGCCCCAGGCCTACATGTAAGTTACTAGTAGTAGCGACTTTACTCTTCCAGATATGAAGGATAATTTTCTTTACTTCATTTAACATCTGTGTACATAATATCACCAGGGTCCATAATATCACCACCTTGAGAAACAGTGTGCTTTAAGATGTTTTTACTGCAACATACTTTTGGTACGCACTCCTTCACACATCAAATGTACATACCTAGGATATATTGCAGTAAAAATATCTCAAGCTTTAAGCACACTATTTCTCAAGGTGGCGATATTATGGACCCTGGTGATATTATGGACTGTTAATTTATGTTAACTGGAATGAAATATACACAATAATATATGTGTGAACATTCTTATGTTGATGCTATCTGTATGTTGCGAAACAAATGTTTGCATAAGCTGACAGATCATGATTTCATAACGTGTTTCGTAACTTGCTGACATCCTGCTGAGTTTGTGTAACGCACCTTACGTATTGATCGGTGAAACTTCACAGTAACATCCGTCACAAATATTTAACTGTTGTTCTGGAAACGCCGAATCGTAACAAAGGAAGACCGTTCACTTGTTTCATTTCTAAAAGTTAGAACATGAAAGGAAGACTTTTAGACTTTTTTTAAAATGTTCATCCATAATATCAAATCAACATGGCCATAGTTCAACAGATGGTCTAACTTTACGACATGATTTTTCAGTCTGCCCTTATGATCTCCAATTTTACAATTTTCAACACCATTCCATGATTAAAATCCGTTCATCATAAACTATATCGAAAGATCTAGAGCATCACATAGCTACAATGAATGAGCCGTGTGTGTAAAATGTCGACGAACGAGAAACCTTCAGAATTTTAGTTTTATAACTAGGACTAGGTGGATATATAACCAAATATCGACCATCATGTAACCTACTTCAGAAATGTTCATTCGGGGCAGAAAACACTTCGCTTGCGGATATCAATAATCGATGTCAGAACCATTGAAAAAGTTGCCAAAACGCACCGTAAGCGAAAAATTCTTGCTGACAAAGGCTTCTCAACAGTACTTGTACTTGCTGTAGAGTCATCAAAGTAACCAACTTCATTCTTCAGCAAAAACCGCCACCAGTGAGGTGAAACCAAGTAGTCATCACTTCTCAATAAACAAGTATCTGTAAGGACTCTCTTGTGGTCGATTTTTCTCAACAAAGCCACTGAACATGCTATGTTCTAGACCTACTTTGCGCTTTAGCCACACGGCAACATTCTGATGTACTGAAGAGAGTCCAACAATACCTTCTTATCATAAGTATCATGTCCAGTGTGAAGACTCTCGGCGACAAAGAAACCCTGTCAAGTGTTTACTCTGTTATACAAGCGTCAGCAAAAATATGAATTGTCTCAACACTTGGAGTAGTATTGAACCAGGATGTCTCTTTTGTTTGCTTTGATGAGTTCCGTGTCCTCTATCTAGAAGTGTGCTTTTCCAAGGGGGGTATAAAAAGGGGGACTCCAGCCGGGATTCCTCAGTCCCACAGGGACCACAGTTTATAGTTGGACTATTACTGTGGATATTTTGCCCCTCTTTCCCCCCATCGAAGTCTGCCTTATCCTGTGGGCAATTTAGCGGGGTAAAACAGGAAGAAAGCCAAGAGTGAGAATGGCACGGAGTGCCGAGCTCGCTATTTTTCTGGCCGCGCTGGTGGCGTTTTCAACCACGTGAGTTGTTAGTTTCTTTGTCAAAAAGTAGAAAAAAACCTTCCAGTTAATAAGTAGATGAGAAATGCGTTCTGTACTCCTTGTTCTTCCTATAAGGAAAACTTTTATACATCGGAGTCGGAGTCATGGCAGTCATAGTGTTTCAGTAATTTCTGTTAGCCTCTACCAGGCTTCGGGAAGCGGCTGGAAAGAGTAATCGGGCAAATAGACAGATGATATATCTGGGGAGTTGGTCTGCGTTAAGGAGCGAGAAACTGTTCCCTTAGCACGGACCAACTCCTTTGGCATATTAGCTGTCTATTTGGCCAATTTTTACTCTTTCCAGCCGCGCGCGCTTCCCGAAGCCTGGCTAAATTGATCACATCGACCACTTGTAGTGAACATAATGTGTAATCTTTCCCCCAAAAGCTAGACAAAAGCTTCAGTTTTGGGAACCAGAAAGTAGATCTAGAAAATGACCCGTATATAATCGTTCCAATCTCTTAAAAATATTTTTTGCACAATCAAGTTATGCGTTAGGCGTGTTACTATTAAATTTTCTGAAGGACGTACGGAACCATCGACGGTTGCCAAGGATGTATCAGCTGTCACGTGCATATGCCCTGTGCTGTACTGCGAACATTATCAATCTAAAATCAAATTCGCCCACATGAGAAAGAGGCTTCGCATTGCCACACATTCGTTTTCCAGCAATCTACATGTTCATCTTTAAATTTACAGCTTAGACTTCCTTTATATCCTACGTACTTGGCTAGTATAGAAAACGTATGCAATCCCTATACCAGATATGAACGTCGACACTGAACTTCGTTTCATTTTCTTGTTTCAGTAATGCGGCTATGAACAAATACCTCAGTTATGGTAAGTCAAAGCGTACACTTTAACTTTTAGAAATAGAAATGGACATAGATTTAACTTTTCCAGTACTTTAGTTCATTTGGCCGGACGACTGTAAGCCTATTTGACAAACATGTGCGTGCGGGACCGCGGTATTAAAATGAACCATGCCTTTAGTAGAAAACGATTTTTATATCGGAACATGATACGTTTTTCCGAACCTTTTACAACCTCAGATACCAATGATGAGTAACTTATGTGCTGTCTCCTTGTCTTCCTTACAGATGACATAACCTATGATCCATCGCTACCCTACTTTGGCGGTAAGTTTTAACTTTGTCGTCTTTTTGATTTATTCCAATCAAACTGTTGCCAACTTTTACCGAAAACTGATCATTTGAATGACGATATCCTTAGTCTTAACATCTGTATATCGCTAATTGTCCTTGTAGTGTGAAGCGTTCCTGTGTATTGAAAATATTAATATTTTCTTCAGCCAACAACAAGTGCAAGAATCCCGCCGTGCCAAAGAATGGGAGGGTTCAGTGTCATCTGACTGAAGATACCATGTAAGTACTATGCCTTATATAGAAATGAGAGATATATCCTCTATACTTGTATACGTTTCCCAGCTTAAATCATTTAGGTCGAACAGAAAAAATCGTATTCCCTATGAAACTATACAAACCATGTATCATTACCTTAATATGTTCATATATACAACTGTTTTAAGAAGCAAGATGAAGTTGAACCTGTAAATATACAGTGTATAGTAGTTGGCATTAGTATGTATAGTTAAAGATTACTGTAATGTTTACCTCTGCTCTATTCACGACCTGTACTTAGCTTGTAAGGGCATAAACGTCTATACAATGAAGGTCTTTCATTTTATTATATATGACAACAACACTGACATTGAAACTAAATATTCATGGCAATCCGTATACAAATGATATAAGATGTGTTTAAAGTACGCATACAGATATGCATTTCTTCTAAAAGGACGTAAATAGCACTTAAAAGCATTCCGCGAAGACACTATATATTTTGTTATAAATATAACTAAGTGCAAATGTAGTTTGTATTAAATGTGTTTGTAGTTCTGTGCTATGACAGAACTGTTATATAGCTGTAGAACACGTATTCAGTGCATATAGTCTTAACAGCTGGAATTACATATCGTGTAGACGAAAGGGCAAGCGGCGCCTTTTCATTCGACAAGGTGTTTCTTGAATCTCAGAATCTTCTCCAGAGTATTCAATCCCCGCCAACTTGACGTCTTCAACGAGACAGACGTCTCGAGTATACATAGACCCTTCAAAGTCTATAAGTCTGATCAAAGTCTACCTTTTATCGTTATGCTCATGAGAGCAGTGACATATGAAAACGGGAGCCAAGTGTTTGATCATCGAGCCCAACGTATCATCAGATCAGAAATGAAAATGTCAAAAGAGGACTAATAGCGTGGAAAGAGGCTTAGTGATACTATATGGGAAGGCGTGTGGTGAGCGCAGAATAGATAGGCACATTTAAAACGTGCATTAAGCCCCTATCACACAATGGCCTCCCGAACACTGCCGAACCCCCCCTAATCATGGTTAAGAGTCCGGAACAAAGCCGGCTGTTACGAAGGCACACAACGACACTTCCATACACCTCTTCCGCGCCCTGCCACACCGACAGTCACCTCTTATGTCAGTCATTCCACAAATGTGGCAAATCTTAATAATAAAAAAACCGTGTGAACGAAAGGTGTGTGGAAGCCAGACATGATTCAGTAGGTAGTCTAGACTTGTTGATCACATCTGACTATGGCTATGTCTCTTCTGACCAGAACGTGCGTAGCCAACTGCAAGGACGGGTACCAGTTCGAGTCGAACCTGGAGAGCGTCCAGTACTCCTGCGTCAACGACGTGGGCGTCTGGAGCCCTGCCGACGAGTTCCCCAACTGCGTCCGTAAGTAAAACAAACAAACAAATAAACAAACAAACAAACAAACAAACAAACACAAGAGCTATCTATCATCCAAAAAGCATGACCCTAGCATGTCCAAATCACGAGATATCAAAACCGGGAGTTCCGCTGCAGTACCATAACAAGCTGTCAGGGGCCCCAAATCTGATGAATTTGAACTCTTATACCCACCCACCTACCAAATATCAAGATAATTCGTCTACGCTTTCTTCAGTTATGCTGTTGACACACACAGGAACAGACACAGAAACACACACACTTCCCTCATGACCTGAATGAAAACCGGCCTACAGGCCAATTTGAGCTTCTCATGAATAAAGAATGGTTCAAACAAACAGAACTTTGAATTAAGTAACACCTACAAGCAGTACGCTAATTTATGATTATTTTTATAGTCTCACCAATCGTACAAACAGAAAAACTAACTCATCTTTCTCTCCACAGCGACTTGCTACTCTGGCTGCGCCAATGGAGGGACATGCGTGGCGCCAAACGTGTGCGCATGCCCACCGGAGTTCACCGGGGCTCAGTGTGAACAGAGTACGTATACGTTAAGATCTTTATAGACGTTGAGTCGTTTTATATATGTCAGATTTATTTGGGTTAGTAAATAATCTGTGTGTGAGTGAGTGAGTGAGTGAGTGAGTGAGTGAGTGAGTGAGTGAGTGAGTGAGTGAGTGAGTGAGTGAGTGACTGAGTGAGTGACTGAGTGACTGAGTGACCGAGTG